AAGACATGCCGGGGCTCGATCCAAACGTAGCAGTGCATCGCCTCAATATTAAGTCGGATGTCAAACCTATCAAACAACAACAAAGACGGTTTCGTCCGCAAATGATGGAGGCGATCGAAGCTGAGGTTAAAAAGCTTGTCGACTCGGGCTTCATTAGGGAAGAGCAACATCCAGAATGGCTTGCCAATATTGTCCCGGTCCTTAAGAAGAACAGGAAGATCATGGTGTGTATTGACTTTAGAGACCTCAACGCTGCTTGCCCAAAAGATGATTTTCCCCTTCCCATCACGGATGTTATCATCGACAATACGTGCGGGTTCGAGAGGATGTCTTTCATGGATGGTTTCTCTGGTTATAACCAAATAAAGATGCATCCAGATGATGAAAAGCATACCGTATTTAGAACGCCTCTCGGCGTCTTCTGCTACACAGTTATGCCCTTCGGCTTAAAGAATGCAGGTGCTACATATCAACGAGCAAAGACTGTCGAATGCTACGTAGATGATTTGGTCGTGAAAAGTCGTGATAAAAAAGATCACATTAATGACTTGAAGACCATGTTCGACTTGATGCGAGCCCATCAATTGAAGATGAATCCTACCAAGTCTTTCCTCGGAATGTCTAGTGGTAAATTCCTGGGATTCGTTGTCACCACCAAAGGTATTCACATCGATCCTGATAAGGTAAAGGCGATCAATGAATTACAACCTCCGAGAAACCTCAGGGAGCTCAGAGGATTGCAGGGGCGATTGGCTTATATCCGTCGGTTCATTTCGAACCTCTCAGGAAAATGCCAACCATTCTCCAAGCTCACAAAGAAGGGCGTATCTTTTGTATGGGATGACGCTTGTCAAAAGGCATTCGAGAGTATTAAAGAATATCTCTCAAAACCTCCTGTACTCGTCGCACCGAAATCGGGCAAACCGTTCTTGATTTATGTCAAGGCGACGAGCCACTCATTAAGTGCATTACTTGCACAAGATGACGATAACGGTCATGAGCAGGCAGTATATTATTTGAGCCGAACCATGGTAGGCGCCGAATCTCGATATCCTATGATTGAGAGAGAATGCCTCGCCTTGGTATTCGCTATTCAGAAGATGCGGCATTATCTGGTCGGGCAGACCATTTATGTCATCTCTAAAGTTAATCCGATTTGAGTATTCATGACTCAACCAGCTTCCATGAGCTGGCGATTAGCAAAATGGGCCTTACTCCTGTCCCAATACGACTTGCATTTCAAGCAACAGAAGTCGGTCAAAGGACAGGCCATATGCGATCTCCTTGCAGATAATCCAACGACGGATACCGCCGAAATATATGACGGCTTACCAGATGAAACCCATGAAGTCAACGCAACTTCTCATCAACAAATATGGCGCTTATACTTCGATGGCGCTTCACGAGCAACTAATGTTGCAAGTGCTCCTGGAAGTTCTAAAATCTCCTCCGGAGTTGGAGTAGTCTTAGTTTCCCCAGGAAAACATGTGATGCCCCGAGCCTACTCACTAACCAAGCCGTGCTCGAATAATGTGGCAGAGTATAACGCATTGATTATCGGACTCAACTTCGCTAAGGAGCTGGGGGTTGAGTATCTCGAAGCCTTCGGCGATTCTCAACTAATAGTCAAGCAAGTCCAAGGAGAATATGAAGTCCGAAGTCAGGATTTAATTCCATACCATAAGATGGCAGTGGAGATAGCGGAATCATTTGAAGGATTCTTCATCGAACATATTCCACGGCTACAGAATACCTATGCAGATGCGTTGGCCGCATTGGCCGTGTCACTAGCGCAGCCTCCCGAAACAGAGCAGTTTGTTACGGTAAGAACTCACCAACTCCTAGTGCCGCTTTACAGTGAAGATGCCGAGGAAGAAGAAGTTCAAGAGGTACACGCTACTCAAATCGAGTTCGAACCACGAGATTGGCGTTTCCCCATCATCGACTACGTCCTGCATGGAATCTTGCCAGAAGATGTGAAGGAAAGAGAGTCAATCCGGCGAAGAGCACCCAGATTCTACTACAATACAGAGAATCGAACGCTATACCGCAGGGGGTACGATGGGTTGCTATTGCGTTGCCTATCAACCAAAGAAGCTGAAGAGGTCCTTAGGGAAGCGCACGAAGGAGAGTGTGGCGCACACCAACCTGGTCCTAAGCTTTATGACCGCATCAGAAGAATGGGGTATTTCTGGCCTTCCATGATGAGTGATGCAACTACGTATGCCCGAAAGTGTGACGCATGTCAAATACACGGGAATTATGTACACCAACCTCCGGAGCACCTGCATCCGTCGGTTACGTCATGGCCGTTCGAGACTTGGGGAATGGACATTGTTGGTCCTATAAATCCTCCGTCAGTCAAAGGCGACCGGTTCATTTTGGCGATTACCGATTACTTCTCCAAATGGGCCGAAGCAATTCCACTCAGAGAAGTTAAGACGAGCAACGTCATTGGATTCATCAAGCACCACATCATCTATAGGTATGGTGTTCCAAGACGAATCATACATGACAACGGTCCTCAGTTTGTCAGCAACGCCTTCATAAGGTTCTGCGAAAAGTTTAAAATTCAGGACATCTCGTCGACGGCGTATAATCCTACAGCGAATGGATTAGCTGAAGCCTTCAACAAGACCATCATCAAACTCTTGTCAAAGATCGTGAAGACCAACAAACGAGACTGGAATGACAAGCTTGGCGCAGCTCTATGGGCCTATCGGACCACGGTGCGCACACCAACGGGAGCGACCCCGTATTCACTGGTATACGGATGTGAAGCTGTTCTTCCATTGGAGATCCAAATACCATCTCTTCGGATCGCTCTTTCAACCCAGATGTCGACCGAAGAACAACATCAGAAACGCCTCGAAGAACTCGAGAGGCTCGATGAAAAGCGCCTGGAAGCTCAACAACATATTGAGTTTTACCAAGCTAGAATCTCTCGAGCTTTCGACAAAAAAGTTCGACAACGGAGCTTCAAAGAGGGGGACTTGGTTCTAGCTGAAAGGCGGCCTATGATCCTTAATTCCAAGAAGAAGGGCAAATTTGAACCCAAATAGGAAGGGCCATTCGTAGTAGAGACAGTTTACTCGAGCGGCGCATATCGCTTAGTCACCAAGGATGGTGACCGGCTTATGATGCCAATAAATGGCAAATTCCTGAAAAGATACTATCCTTAGTATCTTCAGGAAAATTGATGTATCGGGAAGTTCTCGGAAGAATACCACATGTGGTATTCTTAGGGATATTCTTAGGGATAACCCAATCATTGTAGAAGTGATGAATAAGAAATTCTTGTTCGAATTCAGAACATATGCCGAAATGTTTCTTCTTGTCAAATTCTCTAACTCTTATGAGTTATTTTTGTGAGATGAGATCCAATCCTCTTATAGGTTAATCTTTCCTCACCAAACCATCCGCTAATCAATTTAAACGACGGTGGATCCACCAACATTTCCATCTGCCCGTCGTTGGCATTTCTCAGACTCAACATGTTAGGTCCTAATCACCTAGCATTAAAGTCTCCCTCTGAGTGATAATACGAGTTGGCATTTTCTTTGCTACCCGTATTCCACTTTCTTTGCTTTCTGGTCAAACCTATAAAAGTTAGGGCCAAAGCCAAATTCCTCTCTCGATTCCTTCCATGAACGAGAGGTCCACTTTCAATTTGAACAGTCAAATCTATAAAAGTTAGGATTGTTCCCAATCTCACTTAGTCAAGCCTACAAATAGTTAGGGCTAAGACCGAGTCATTCCTTTTCGATAAACAAAAATCCGCCTTTGTTCCTTTTTCCACCAAACCTATAAAAGTTGGGGTCGAAATTGGGCTTCCTCCTCAATGAATGAGGGATTCTTTTGATTCAAATGACCAATCCTATAAAAGTTAGGGTCGTTCGAACCGTTCTGATTCTCGGAGTGGAGATCCCACTCTTAGTTTCATCTTTTCGGATTCTGGGGGTGGAGATCCCACCTTGAGTTTCCTTTCCGACTGTAGATAGAATATAAAATTCTTCCTCTTCAGTCCCGGGAGATAGAATATAAAATTCTTCCTCTCCTATTTCCCAATCCGTCTTTATTCTGATAAAGGACATAATTTTCAATTTCCAATCCGGGCACTTTGTGCACGGGGAATTTTATCTCAACTCCTAAATAGAGATAAGTCTACGCCTAACACGCGTCGACCAGGGTCTAAGCCTGGGGAATTTTATCCCGAAGCCTAAGAAGGGATAAGTCGTCGTCTAGTACACGGCGCGGGGTACCTTTTCCCTATAAAAATTGGTTAAGTCTATGTATTCAAAATCATAGCATCAAGTCTAAGAAAAGCGATTTTCTTAGCACAACGTTACATGTGAGATGGGTTTAATAATTCACATGCTAGTCCGATTCAAACGGTAGTCGGTAAAGACATATCAAACCCGTTGATGGCTGGGGGTTTGCCAAAAATCCTGTAAATTTTTATCATCGCTGAATTCACAGTGAATCAAATGCAGAGTCTCTATTAATAGATCAAGTCAAGGCATATAATAAAGAGCTCGTTAGCCCGAAGGCAGCTGACGGCTAAGAACATGAGACTCTAAACTAGAAAGCCTATCTATATAACTCTGCTCAAGTTCTGCCTGTAGACCAGCCCGGACGGATTCCTCAGAACTGCTCAAGATCTTCACGGCTTCATTCTTCAGCTTCATCAGTCTCTCCTGTGTAGATCCTAGCTTCTCGAGGGCCTGTCCACGAGAATGCTCTACTCCAGCCAGGTCTTCTGCGATGATAATAATGGACTCCTCGGCACGCTTCAAGGCCTCCTTCAGCCTAGCCACTTCCTCGCGACCGAAATCCAAAGAGCGGAGTAGCTCGGCCCTATCTGTATCCCTCCTCGCCACGGTAGCCATCAGCTGCGCAACTGAACGCTCATGTGACTGAAGCTCACTGCCGATGGAAGATCTCAGGTCGCGCCACTGTGCCAGCCTATGCTCCATCTGAGAGGACACGAAGGAAGAAACCCCATTAGCCTTCAGCTCCTTCAACTCTCGGATCTCCGACTCCAGAACAGCAAAATCGGTGGTGAAGGAATCGGCCAACTCTGGATACCCTTCTTCTCTAAACATCATCATGTGACGAGAAAAGGAACGCCTGAACTGATCGAAACCATATCCTCGATGAAGAAGTTTCTCGATCATGCCGTTATAAAAGACGGTAAAAAGGCCGAGGTCTGTACGAAAAATGTCTTTGTCGGGATCGGTATCAGCCAAGAGGACGCGGACACGCTCATATAGGGATGATCGAGGTCCTACAAGAAACAGTGCGGAAAGGTAAGACATTATCGAATACGATACGAAAATTTAAAGGCAAATTCCGAGCATACCAATGCCAACGGAAGTCCCCTCAGGCTGAAATCCGACAGGTTCCGAAATAACTGCAGGAGTAGGCATGGAGGGTATATCAACCCCTGTAGGCAAATCAGTCATACCTCTCGGCTGTGGCGGGGAAACACCGCTCTCAGGCAAACTATCAGTCCCAGAAACTGTAGCGGCATCAGGCACAACGGCTGGTCCTATAGTTGCACTTCTTTGTTAGTCAAAATAAAAATTTAGACAAATAAGGAGGGTCGGGATGATAAGGTCATCTGCATACTTGTAGGTCCATCATCCTCAGGTATCCGGGGGATGTCAGGAGTCATAAGAGTATCAGTCCCGGTGGCTGGTCCTATGATTGCACCCATATATTAGTCAAAAGTCAGATAAATAAAAAGGAGCACGATGTCCCTAAATCGTATGCGTACCTGCAAGTCCGTCACTCCGAGATAAGCTAGATATGCCGGGAATCGATATTGGGTTAGTCCCAATGACTGGCGCTGTAATATTAATCCTTCGTTAGTCAGACAAAAGATCAGGCAAAATGAAGGGAATCAGATATGTACCTGTGAATGAATCATTCTCAAAGGGTGGTCCCACAGTTCCTCTGGTGGCTTGTTCAGCCAACATGTCGGCAAATAGTCCAATGTCAGGGCCCGGGAAACTAGGTACAGGAGCACACCCCCGTTCCTCGAAACCTACATCATGATAGGCTCCATCCTCAGCTGGCTTTTCCATCGCGACATCTGCAGGATAACCTAAATGTTGGAAGATGAGGAAGAAAGGAAAGCTCAGAAATACCTGCAGCAAAAACAGAAGATTCTCTTTCCCCATGCTTGAGGAGGGTATCATTGGATATAGATATACCTGAATATGGGACGGTGGGCCCAACACTATTCACCTGCTCAAGATCAATGTTTAGATCGATGCCCAGAGAACCGTCATGAAGGGCGTCGCACATCTGCTGCATGAAGCAATCCATGTTGTCAGATCCAGGAGATACCAGACCCGGTGGAAGTTCGCCCTCTTCAAAGAACCTTGAAGCATAAAACATGGTTACGAATCCCAAGAGGTAAATCACCTTAAAACAATAAAAATAAATATTACCTTCCCCTCCATCGGCGATGCTTCCTAAATCCATTCCATAAGAACGCTGACCGTCGTGTGGTTTATGAGCGATCTTCTTCCTTTTCGGGGCGCCATCTCTCCTAGAACCAACAGGTCGGTCATGCACAGACTTGTCACACGTCTCAACATGCGTAGGAGCTCGATCGTCGGGCCCTGAGCTCATATAACGAGAAGCTGGCGACTCATGATCGTCAACTGCCCTACCTAAAGTGACAATGGTCATTAAACGAACAAGATCTGTCGTTTATACCAATTAGAATGGAGAAGGAAAATCAAAGAGCATGACAAACCTGTATCAAGTTCTTCTCTGTCGGTATCTATATCCACATATTCCTCCTCAGAAGTCTCGTCGTCATCACCCGTAGGAAGGAGCTCTTCATCATCTTTGAGAAGAGATTTGGCATGCCCCTTTCTCTGCTTCTGAGCAAGCTCAGCCCTGCGAGCAGCCATCATAGCAACCTGGACCGAATGCTCGGACTGTAACTCTGAAAGACTCCTCACACCTATGGATTCATAGGCGGAAAAGAACCACTTGCAACTGAGGAAAGTGATCAACGGCTTACGCCTATATGAAGGAAGAGCAAAATGGGCTCC